TACTCATTCACCAAAACCTTATATATAACTATATACTTATATATTTATATATATTTATATAGTTATCAGTAAGTATATTCTACTAACTAAGCTTTTGTTGTATGAGCTTCTACTGCACATTGACTTGGTCACAATAACAGAGTAGCTTAATGAACTGTCTCATGTTTTTTTAGCAATGAGAACTGTAAGATGGCAGCCTATAAGATAGATGCTAAAGAACAATGTACCAAGTCTACAGTGTAAGAAAGAGAACTAAGTTGCACTTATTCCATTAAAGTAGTATTGCTATATGTGCAGTAAGAGAAGAACTCATCACTGATCTTCTGTGAGAGAAGATCAGTGTGGCTTTAAGTACTAGTGAGATTAGAACTATGCTAACTAATAAGATACTAGCTCTTAGGACAGATCTAGTCTACAGTGGACATGACAATGAAACTTTTCTTCATATTTTGAAATGAGATTGAGGCTAATTTTCAAATTTTGAAAAGAAATTGAGATCAACTTAATTGAAATTAACATTCAGTCTTGTTTCATTAAGATTTCAAAGAGATCTCAATGATCAGTCTAATCATAATTATTGTTATCATTCTTGTTCTTCTTCTTCTCACTATCAGTGACAATGTCAGTGGCATTAATGGTGGTCAAATGACTGATCTTCAATCTCACTGAGTCAGTCAGTTTTATCTGACTGAGTTCTGGTGGACTATCATCTTCACCATCAACATTATTGACTGGTGGTGGAAACTTAATTTGTTCTAAATGATTTCATTAGATGTAAAGTACTATGTCTTTCTAATCATTAATGAAAAGTTCATTCAGCTCATCTCTGAGTGCTAGAAACAATGACTGAAGATTATTCACATCTAACTTAAATTGATGACACTGACATTCTATGATGCTAGAATGAAATCCAAAGAACACTCTACAACTATGAAAGAACTTTGCATTAGATGAAAAATGATATCTTCAACATCAAATTATGCACTAATGTGACTGATTATGTCTACTCTAGCTTGAAAGAAGTTTCTATACTCAATGATAAATTGATCAATAAAGCAGTCATTGAGAAGATGTTGTTCTTCTTCAACTTTCTCTATCATGATTAACAACAGTATCTAGAGTCTCTAAATATATTTTCACTGATCTTTGTAAGAAATTGTCTGTAACAGATTTTATGTTTTCACTGTGCTAGTGAGATCATGTGATAAGTCACAGTCTCACAGAGTTTACAAACCTTCAATGACTAATAGCATGACCATCTAATTCTAATTTCTAAGCATGGAGAAGGTTTTACATATTCTCCTTTGAATGATGAAATGAATGTAAGATGACTGCAGTTCAAGATCTTCAAGAAGAGAGATACTGTAAGAGTTTATTGTTATGAACTATTTACAGTATTCTGACTAATTCAGAAATTTTTTCTGTAAATTAGAGCTTTGACAACTCTGTTAGTTTTATATGTAAAGATCACAAAAGTTCACAGAGTGTTCATTCATATTCACACTTCAGTATCACTTTTTTATTAAGTATTGAAAGTTATCAATTTAAGAATCATTAATTTATATTTTTGTCTGCACCAAAGCCCTAAAATAAACAATGGCCAATCAGTCTTGATCCAACAAGTCCGCTAGCTCGCGTTCCTCTTCCTCCGTCAAGAGGTCATATGAACGTTCAGCAGTTCGAGTAAGAGCGTCATTAGGTATATCCATTTTTGCACGAAGCAGATCTTGTGGATGTATAGACCATTGTCGAATTGTACCATCAATGCTGATACTAACTATTTTCAGCCCAAGTAATAGCAAACCAGTAACCTCTTCAAAGTGGCCAGAATACGTGTGGTGTAGAGTACCAGTCTTTATACCCAAGATAAGAACTCATGAATTAATATAGAATAGAGGCAGTTCACTTACTGCCCGATCCCATACCCTAACTTCCTCGTCTCGGCATGCAGTGATCACCCAACCTCCAGCTTCATGGACTACAACGTCTTTCACAAAATCGGGATGCTCTAAAGTAAGACTTGCGGTCCAGGCACTGGATTTTGTGAGACACTTTGCGGTGTTATCTGCGGATGCAGTCCATAAATCTCCATCGTCATCAAAAAATAACTTGTAAATGCTTGTCTGATGCTCGAGGATCGGGTCAAAAACAGTTAAGTCCTTGGAATCGGGTCGTATCGCAAACCCCAATATCGCCCGATCACTGCCAGCACTGAAGATGCAAACAGAGCGGCTATCATGTGTAATAGGATCGATAGCAAGGCTTTGAATTCCGCGGGAATGACATTGGAGCACATGAAGTTGTGCGCCGTTGGGTAAATCCCAGATAATTATCTTCGCATCAGCTCCGCCAGATACTAGGAGGGTCATGTCATTGAATTCGGAACAAAGCACTGCTTTCACAAAATCAACATGCCCGACGTAATTACGCCCAGGGTTGCGTGTTTTTACATGCCAGCTCCAGATGGTCTTGTCCCAGCATCCCGCAAACACAGTCGTCCCATCAGTAGAGAAACAAAGACTTGTTAAGGGAGCAGAGGGTCCCTTGTATATAGCTGTCGTTTCACCACCCTAGAATCTTGGTTACTAGATCAATTCAGTGAGCAATATGGAGCACTAGGTATTTTCTCTCACCCACTTCAAGGGCAACAGCTCTCAAGACTCCAGAACTCTCGGCAACGAATACCGAGCTAGCCTTAAATGGATCGGCAGCAATAGCTAAAATCTTTCCAGGTAGTTTTATAGGATTCCCATTTTTATTGCCAGATTTCTTTTCTTTACGGCAACTTTCCTTAATTGAGGTTCTAGAGTCAACTATGTCAGGGGCCTGGTACGTTTAGGACTGAAGGACAGGGGAGAGCAGACGTCGTCTGGAAAAAGTCGTCACGATACGGAGACTGCATTGTCCTTCAAATACTGAAATTGGTATCTCGCCGATTGGTAGTAGTATACGGAGCACAAATTAATTTATGAGGCATCAGGGTAGGTCAGTATACCTGTACCAAGCAAAGGAGCTTAACCAGAAACAGGTTAGTCCCTTTTTAGCCTAGCTACCTAGGTAGTTACCTCCCACCTAAAATAGTTGCATTGCCTTTTTTAGTACTTAGCATTCGAAACAGCCCTCTCTTTTCCCTCGAGGAATCTTCTTTACTACTATACCAAATAGCATAGCCTTCTATTTACCAATCATTCATTGCGCATGAACACGCAAATCCCCTTAGCCATGGATATGAACCATTTCATTGGGTGAGTTAGATAGATGTGGTCGTCCAACTTAATACCTACAGCAACCCGCTAACATTCAATTGTAGGCGTCGTTTCAATTTAATCTCAAAGAGCGATATTCGGTTTGACTCCATAAAGTCTCAATAACAACCCTCAATACATCTAATGAGTACTATAGTTATGTTGGTACTTTGCATGAGATAAATCCTGAAGCATCAACTATCGCCCTCGAAAACGTTGTTTCACATGGTACAGAGGGTCGCCGTGGGGATCTATCAGAAGAAATTGCGCCATCTACCAGTGTCTATGAATATATTGTGTTTCGCGGAAGCGACGTAAAGGATATCAACTTCGCGGATGAGCAGAAAGGCAATGAGCAAACCGAGCCACCACAAATGCCAAATGACCCTGCTATTCTTGGAGTAAGTATTAATGGATATATCCGACGGTTATAGCCCATTTTTCCTCGTATTCTCAGCCCATAACAGTGCAACTACTGCCCATAACCCCCTCTGGCTTATTTCAAAACGTGGTATCTTTACATCTGCCAACACCGTGAAAACGTGCTAAGGAACGTTTCATAGACATCTTCACGCCCTGGGCCTCCACAAAGTGGTGGTCGCGAGCCAATAAACCGATTTTCCCACCAACCTCGGCAAGCACCTCCTGGGTTCACACAGCCACCTTTCCCGGGCTATTACCACCCATATGGCCAGCGATTTGGCCCTTCTGGATTTCCAGCGGGCCCCGGGTTTTCAAATGTGCCGTATAATACTTCTCAAGGGTGGTACCCCCCTCCTAATCAGAACCTCACTCAGCAACCACCACAATTTCCTCCCCCGCAGATGACAGTTGCGACCTCTCAGCTTCAGCAGGAAACACAGCCGCCCCAAGTTGCTCAATCAGGACCGATATCCCACGAATTACCGAAAACTACCTCTGAGCTTCCGGTTGGAGAAAAGCCAGTTAACAACGCCCCGAGGACGCCTGAGGCACCAATTTCTGGGCCTGGAATGACGAACCTGAAACCCAATAAAGCTCCTGAGCAGGCCGTAAAGAAACCTCAGTCCGTACCACACCCACCTAGCCTCAATACAGCCTCGCATCAATCAGCCACCGCGAGCAGTGCTGTCGCTATTCCAAAATCGATGGCGCCACCACCTAGTGGACTCAAAGTGGAACGTGTTGTGCCAGCGATACCAATTTCAACAACTGCAGTGACAAGACCCCCTGTCCCTTTAGCAGGCAAATCCCCCGTTTCCGCAGGGACCTCCCAGAACAGCCGTACTACACCAAGCACTATGCAAGAGGCTACGAGGGCCGCCACAGCTGCTGTTGCCGCTGCAATGGCAAAATTGCCACAACCATCATCCGGCGAAAACAGACTTCAAGCTGCCGAAGCTGCCGTTGAATCGGTGACCAAAAAGGTCAGCGACATGAAACCCTTCGACAATGAACGCCCTATTCACGGTGGGCAGCAATATTCTCGTGGAGGACGAGGCTATCGGGGTGCTTACCATCCGCCACATCCCAAAAAAATCGAAGTTCCAACGGTCGATTTCGATTTTGAGACAGCAAACGCCAAGTTTAACAAGCAGGATGTTGCCAAAGAAGCGATTGCGTCCGGATCTCCCCTTAAAGACTTTGATGGTAACGGTACAAATGATATCAGTTCGACCAATCGCCAAAATGATACTGCCACGTCCAGTACTTCTAGCCTTATGACAAGCATTGCCTATAACAAATCCTCGTCCTTCTTTGATAACCTCTCTAGTGAAGCTCGTGATAGGGAGGATGGCATTCGCCGTGGGCGCCGAGGCGAAGAAGAAAAGAAGAATATGGAAACATTCGGTCAAGGAAGTGTTGATGGAGGCTATCGTGGTGGGTATAGGGGTCGCGGAAGGGGTAGAGGCTATCGTGGTCGAGGACCATATGGTCGTGGCTACGGAGGCCGTGGCCGAGGACATATCCGCGGGGAACGTGATAGCCCTAATACCAGTGGTATCCCTACCCAAACACTATAACTCAACGTCGTTTTTGTCCTACTTTAGCTTTACTCGATCATATTCTTTCCATGGAATTTTCATCTCCACTGTCAACTTATATGATCGATCAAATTCTTTACTTTTCTTTGTCAATTGAACCAGACTTTCTAAACTTCTCATACAGACTCATAGTTCGCATGTAAATTTTGTAGCGTTTTCTCTCTAGTTACTTATGTGTCAGTGCGTTCTGTCTTGGGGCTGTCCCCTTTTTCAGCATTCACTCTGAGTCTGAATTCTTTTGTAGGCTTGTTCTCCTTTACTAGATTCCTTTCACAGGTCAAAATTTATGTACATGCAAGCGACAGAGCAAAGTCATCTACAAAATATTAGAATCAGACTATTCTGTTCTTTGGGCAGCTTCTCAAACTGTCAGCCAGAGGCCTGCCAAATCTAGGCTAGGCACAGAGATTAGACCATTCTCTTCATTTCTTTATATAATGTAGATCCAAATCTTTTTGTCACATATGTATGATCAGAGCTTCACTCCGATTAACTCTTTTTGTCTTACTTAAATTAATTGCTTATTTATATAAAATAGTCTAGATGTAGGGTGGCAGCCTATAAGATTATAAGATAGATGTCATGCCCACTGTAGGCTAGGCCTGCCCTAAGAGCTAGTACCTTAATAGTTAGCATAGCCCTAACCTCACTAGTACCTACACACGTCTGAGGGGATGAGGTAAGCTGCATACAGTGTAAAGCTCAGATGAAATCAAAAAGAGGCTCTCTTTTCAGGCAAATACAATAGTGTATTGTAATAATGGTGTATTTGTGTTGAAAAATTACAACTAGCTAACCCCTGAGGATCAAAACTTTTGGCGCCGACCTCCGTACATCAAAAGAACTTCTGGATTAGTCAGAGCATCATAAGTAGTCTGTGAAGGTGGGCTCTTTTACAACTCTGTAGTTACCAAAGTACTCTCAATGATAATTTACTCCTTTTAAGTCATAATGGTAAAAAACGAAGCTAAAGACTATTCTGCTTCCAGTATGCCTACTGACAACAAAAATTTTGCAAAGTTGCTTGATATGACCCCATTACCAGTTTTCTCTGACTCATCGCTTGCAAACCTCGCCGAACAAATCAACGGCAAGTTAGCAGCTCCTAAGTCACAGCGGATTCATCTGGAGGTTGGCCCTAAATCTAATAAGCAAAGCGACGCCATCGCTCCGAAAGCTGAATGTGCGGCTAAGATCCGCAAAAAGCGAGACCGCAGCGGACAGGTGATTACCCACCAGCGAAGGCCTACTCCCAAGCAAAAGAACGCCCAATGTAGCAATGTTCTGAGGCAAGAAATATATGCCGTAGGCGGGACTAAAGAAGATTACGATTTACTTGCTTGTGTTGAATCTGATTCGGAAATGGAGGACGCATTGGGCGAGGGCTGTGACGACTCAGAAGCTCTTCGCCGAAATATCGCCATAATCTTGAAAGGAGGAGTAATCAATTCAAGCCCAGGAAGTGGAAATTCTATGCCTACGATGCGAAAAGTTACCCATGGAAAAAACGTGCCGGGCGTACCCAAAGAGCACCATCTAGGTAAGACAGAAATAACGAACTGCAAACAGAACCCAAAAAGAGCCAATTCCATAGATATGGTACGTTAACATTCCAGCAATAATTGTCTTGCCTGGTGTTCATATTTTTTTTTTTTAATTAGGTATTCGCTCCCCAGCCGAACTGGCACTCGAATTTTCTTCCTGAACTTCACGTAGATGTTGACTGTGTTGATATACCGCATCATGTCTTGATTCGAATTCGTGAATACTCCCGATCTTTATTAGAGACGGAAAACAAAGCTTACGCCGCTTACCGGGAATCGGGTTCATCGTCCACCTACAAATTTTACTCCACTATTGTAACCTCTGGGACGCTGATTGACAAAGTATCAGCGTTGACTTTGGAATTTCAAAACTCTCCTTTACACAATATCAAAGCATTAGAACAATTGATTGGGTTGGCCAAAAAACGCAGTCGAGCGCAATGTATCGAGGTACTGCGATCTTTAAAGGATCTATTCGCTCAAGGAGGTGTCCTCCCAAATGACCGAAAGCTTAAGTTTTTTATACATCAGCGAGCCTTAGGCGCAGCTTTATCTGGTAATAGTAACTGGACCGCTACGGACCCTCTTCCCCGAGGATTAAAGAAGAGTCATCTCATTTACTGGTCTTTTGAAGATTTTTTGAAAGAAAAATATTTTGAAATTTTGAAAATTCTAGAAATTTGGTGTGGTGACAAGATCGAGTTTTCACGATCAAGGGCTGTCAGTTATGTTTATGAATTGCTGAAAGAAAAGCCTGAGCAAGAATCAAATCTCCTTCGCCTCCTTGTTAATAAGCTTGGTGATCCAAGTAAAAAGATCGCATCTCGTGCCTCATATCTTCTTCTTCAGCTCCAGCAGGCACATCCTGTAATGAAAGAAGTAGTTATTTCCGGCATCGAATCCGAATTATTATTCCGGCAAGGACAATGCCAACATGCAAAATATTATGCTGTCATTACCCTCAATCAAACTGTTTTAAGCGTCAACGAAGAGAAGGTCGCCGAAAAACTTCTGGATATGTACTTCGGTTTATTTGTCTGGATACTGAAATTTGAAAAGGTAGTGAGCGACAATGAGGTTGACGAAGGCAATAAAACAGCCCAAAAACAGAAAGGCAAACCCCGTCGAAACATCGCTAAAAATTTAGAAGTCGAGTTGAGTGAAAAGTTGATTTCAGCCATTCTAACCGGTGTCAATCGAGCATATCCATTTACCAAATCCAGCAGCGAAAGGTAATACACATCAGCCCGGAAACCTTACTTGTAAGGCTAATACTTGATATAGGCTTTCACGACATATCAACACGCTTTTCAATGTTACTCATTCGTCGAATTTCAACACTAGCATTCAAGCTCTCATGCTTATTCATCAATTGTTGTGTTCTCATGCCGTGTGTACGGACAGGTTTTATCGTACCTTGTACGAATCGCTGCTAGATCCGCGCATTATAACATCCTCCAAGCAATCATTATATCTGAACCTTCTCTACAAAACACTGAGCTCGGATAGGAATTTGAGGCGAATTAAAGCGTTTGTAAAGCGTTTGGTTCAAATCCTTACCCTACAATATCCATCATTTATCTGTGGCGTGTTTTATTTAATCCGGGAATTGGAAACAGTTTTTCCTGGCTTAAGCACTTCAATAGATCTTCCAGAGAACCACGAAGATGATATCCAGGAGCTTTTTAGAGACGTCCCAGAACAAGACACAAGTGGCAGTGGAAAAGAGACACCTCCCCGCGTTACACAAAAGGCAAGCCTTTACGATGCCCGCAAAAGAGACCCTAATGAAAGTAACGCTGAAAAAAGTTGCCTCTGGGAACTGGTAAGCCTCCTAGTGGAAAATATAGATGGTTCGGAGTCTAACAGAATTTACCGTAGCTCCCATATCTGTCACATTTCCATCCTTCTGTTTCTGTTGGTGCAACACAGCTTCTGCAACATCAGAAAATGGAAGGAAAACTTGACCTCACTATTCATACACTCTCGCACTTTTTGGATCGTTTTGTGTATCGTAGCCCACGGGCTTCAACGGGGTTACGCGGATCATCGATCATGCAGCCTCTTGCTAGTTGTGACACCAGACGCCTTTTGATCACTTCTAGCGATACATCCAAAGTCCGAGATCCGGTCAACAATGAAACTTTCTGGACTAGGAAAGCTGAAGATGTGGCTGCTGAGGATGTTTTCTTCCATGCCTACTTCAATCGCTTGGCAGCTGATAAATCAAAATGGAAGGTTAAGAAGCCTACAAAAGAAAATCCCAGTCTTGATGATAGTGATACCGAATCAGAGGTTTTCCGAGCCCTCATTGAAACCAGCGCTGATTTGGAATGCGATAAAATAGGAGTTATTGACCTTAATCTAGAAGATTTAGGAACTACCACAGACTCAGAAAGCGAGGATATTCAAAGTCACCCGGCAAATGAGGGTGTCACACTCGAAAAGGGAAGTTCTGAGGAAGAACTGGAAGGCGGGCATCAGGCGGACGATCCATTTAAGGCGCCTGAGGAAGTCGGATTGTTTGATATAGACGTTTCCGACGAGGATGCTTTCTGCGACAGCGACCAGGACATTCCGTCTGACATCAGCATCGGAATTCGCAACAAACAGAATGATGAGGTGACCAGAGAGTTGACAAGAGGAAAGAAAAAACGAAAACTTAAGCACCTGCCCACGTTTGCGTCTGTAGAAGATTACGCTGTACTGTTGGAGCAGGAGGTTGACGGAGATGGCTACCCTTGAACTACCCTGTATGTCGCCTAGATGTCATTTACCACCATACCCCCCGATTCTATGTACTCCACACAGAGCACAACTCCGTATTTAGCTAGTTAAAAAAAGGTAGCAAAGTTTCGGAAATACATGTCTATCTTGGCTTCAGAGTGCTTTTTTACCAATAGCACGTTGCATCTGGGAAAAGATAAAACTGAAATAAAAATACAGTGTCACGTATAGTTATCACCGACCCGCGTTATGAAGTTATAACTTGCCAAGCCCTGATAACCTGGTTATCACGGCGCCTCCCCTAACAAACCCATTCAGTATAACTCGGTTATCAGCCAGCTTGGCGGCATGAGTTAGAGTTGGTGTTATATGGGGCCCCCGTACAGTGATTGGCAGGCTGTAGAATTACTATGCCAAAACAGTACACGCGCAGGCAGGCTGGTAGCTTAGTAATTAGAGAGCTTAGTAATTACACAGCTGATTACACACCGCGCAGGCTGGTTACTAAGCTCCGGCGCGCGTAATGCCAAGACTTCTTTTCAAATGCACTAGTCTACATTGGCTCTAGTATGATTATTGGACCCATTAAAGTTAATAGGTAACAAGGGCGCCATGCGTGAAAGTTTCCGATTTTCATGGTACGTACTTACCTTTCTAGAACCTACGTCGAACGGGTATCTCTTCGTATCCTGGTTGCCCACCACAAAATTGCATATTCTAACATAACTGTACAGCAAGTATTGGAAGTACTTACCGGTTACACATCACCGACCAAGAGCGCTTGATATTAGAAAGGCTGCGTCCCAGTATGTTTTCCTCGTCGAATTCAGAGGCTTTAATGACGCGCTTTGCCACTCTTCATTAAGAACCACATGGAATGAAGAGTCCAAAGCCTGTTAGAGCAAACTAGTTTATGTCATCAGAAAGCAAGCTCCTACATTCCTGGAAGCCGCAACGGTTGTAGACATTCCTGCAGTGCCCTGTGACCCTGTTTCCCAGCATGTCACATCCCAGATGCACGATAGCCTCCCGCCTTGGAAAACGCCGCCGTAGCTCATCGTTCAATGTCGATACCCTGTTTCTCCGACCTTCTCTCTAGTAACCCCAGACGATAATTGGCACAAATATCATAAACAATTATATGTCACAGATCACCAACAACAACGTTGCTTACTCTTCTAGCCGCTCGAAAGACCCTCTAAATAAATAATATGGCAAACAAGTTAAACCAAGTGACGACAAGTTTCCCACAACATACCACCTTGAATGACGAACAGCGTCGAAAGGTAGGATCTATAGATATAGACATGGAGGATATCGAAAATGGCAATGCACCACACTGGAGTGTATTCTCTGCCCGTTATGTCGAAGCAGATTCTGAATCCGACATGACTGTCAACTATCAAGTGGAGTTAGAGGCGGGGAATTCTATCAAATACCGGACGTGCTCCTGGGGAAAGGTAAGTAAGTGGAAATGAGAAAGGCAAGAAGCCCAAATCGCTGACTGCTCTGTTGCCTAGACAGCAGTACTCCTCTTTTCTGAGTATATCTGCTTAGCAATTGTATCATTTCCTCACTCTTATTCCGTGCTAGGATTGGCGCCTGGGTTAATTTTGACTGTTGTTGTTGCGGCGCTCGTTCTGTACACGTCTTTGATAATATGGTGAGCCGTCAAAAATTAGTCCGTTGTCTGAGCAAGCCATTGACAAACCAGGCAATATTGCCTTCGTCATCCCAATATTCGAGATGTTTGCGATCTCGGCCAGCGGATATTCTGGAATTCCAAGGCTGCCTGGTATCTCACTGCAGTCATGTTCCTCCTGAACAATACTTTCATTCAGGTACTTTGCTCAAAATAAGGAGCTTTTAGTCCGTTTCTGACTTCAATCTTCAGGGGCTGCACTGTCTAGTTGGCGCTCAGTACCTGAATATTATGTCAGATCATGCTTGCTGTACTATAATTTTTGCCGCCATTACTGCGTTTACGTCGTTCTTATGGTCACTCCCGAGGACGTTCGAATCGCTCGCAAAGCTGGGCGGTCTCTCTGCATTTTTCACGTTTATCTCGGTGTTATTATTGACCATAATCGCAGTAAAGCAACCTCACCCGGCAAAATACAACCCTGACCCTAACCATATCAGCCCTGAAGGTAAAAAAGTAGGAGGGGATCCCATAATCCTAGCATTCCCAGCCAAAGGAACATCATTCGTTGCGAGAATGGGAGCTTTCTTGAATATCAGCTATACGTTTATCGGCCAAATCACGCTACCCAGTTTTATTGCTGAGATGAAACATCCAAAAGACTTTTACAAGTCGCTATGGGCTGTCTCCATTGCTGAAGTCATTGTTTTCAGTATTGTGGGCGCCGTGGTCTACTCATACACAGGAAATCAGTATGTCACATCGCCAGCATTTGCATCTATCAGTAGTGATGCTGCAAAGAAAATTATGTTCTCCTTTATGGTACCGACTTTAATCTTCCTGGGAGTTCTATATGCGTCTGTTTCAGCAAAATTCATTTTCTTTCGTATTTTTGAAGGCACAAGTCATAAAGGCACTCACACCTTTGTCGGATGGTTTTCATGGAGTGGTATTATAGCAGCTACTTGGGTATTTGCCTTCATAATCGCGGAGCTTATTCCGTTTTTTTCCGATCTTCTCTCCATTATGAGCTCCTTATTCGACTCCTTTTTCGGTTTTATTTTTTGGGGTGTTGCATATATGCAAATACAAGCGGCAGACGAAGCGAAAAGACCAAAGACAGCCCGAAGTGTTAGAGGATGGATTGCTTACATATTTAGTTGGATTCTGATTGGAATAGGGCTATTCTTCCTGGGGCCTGGTACTTATGTGAGTATTGCATTCCGCAAGTTCAGTAGACACAGTGAGCTATGCTTACTCTTTAATAGGCATCTATCCAGAGTGTTCTCCTTAACTATAAACAAGGGAGGACTGGAGGCCCATTCAGTTGTGCGGATAATAGTGTGTGATTTAAAATGAGTAACCAGGTCCAATTTCCCTATGCAAGAGCATGAATAGTCATTATAGATTAGTTTTTCCATTGGGTTTGAAAGGGCATGAATTTTGGGAATGGTCTGAATGCTTTTATCTTAGGCTCGTGTCCACTTGATATTAACTAGTTGGGGGTTTCAGGCTTTCAGCAACTGATTTTTGAACGAACAACAATCCACTTTTCTGTACTCCTAGCTGTATGGAGCGGCTAGGCTGACCATTGGGATCCCAAAGGTTAATCCCAATTGAGTTGATCCCAATCCCTTCTCAAAATTTGAAAATTAGTCTCAATTCCATCCCAAAATATGAATAAAAGTTCCATTCTCTTCTCAGTTTCAAATTTTCTATGTTATGTCCCATCTCTAGATTTTTCTATTTCTAAAACAACTTTAATTTTTTTTCAAACTTTATTTTGAAAGTGTATTTTTACATCAAAATATGACAAAATAGAAAAATTGGCACATTAAGTCAAAATACATATATATATATATGTATATGATTTTGATACTAAAAATAGTATAAAATAAGATTGTATTTTAAGTTTAGAGAAATTGAGAATCTCTATCTTTAATTAAATAATTTCAATCTCTTTAAATTAAGTCTCATTTTCATCTCAGTACTTGAAACTCAAGTTCCAGTTTCATCTCAGTTTGAACTATTAAGTTTCAGTCCCATCTCAATTTTCCATTAATGCATTAGAGATGGGATCTCAGTTGGGAAATCTCTGTTTCTGTGGTCAGTCTACTAGAAACATTTTGTGCAATCTGATTCTTTTATGTAATCTTATAGATACATAATGTGTCTCTGTAAATCTCTAAGTTATAACTTCTAAATTGTTACAGATTCTCTTCTCTTTACAAAACTTAATTTTCAAAAGTTTATATTATCTAGAAATTTTTCAATAAAAAATCTTTTGAATCTGTTGGTGCAACACAACTTCTGCAACATCAGAAAATGGAAAGAAAACTTGTATAGTTTATACTCATAAACTACAGTCTATTCAAGATCTACTTATATATAGTCATTTATACTCTATTAAGTTGAAGCTAGCATTAATTACAATGTATATTGTCAGATTTCTGCTTTTTGATTCTCTTCTACTTTCTTTTTTAAGTTTTTTGATCATATGAATTAATTAATTTGTAGAATTCAGTCTTATATAATCATGAAGTCACAACTCAGAAATTTATGAAGACACATCATGAACTTATAACATTATATAGAAGAATTAGATGACACTAAACTCTTTTTAAAACTTAATAATAATCTTGTAAACAATTTAGATATAGTTATTGTAAGACTTCATGCTGCAGCCATCTTACATTCATTTCATCATTTAAAAGAGATTTATAAAATCTTCTTAATGCTGAAATAATCATACTCCATGTCATCTGAGACTTATAAATTCTGTGACTGATTACATAATCTCACTAGCATAGCTGAAGTTCTGAACACAAAAAATCTGCCACAGATGCTTCTGTATAAAGATCAGTGGCAACTGTGAGAATCAGTAGATTGCAGATAACATGGCAATAACTTACAGTCTTTGTAAATGAGATTAGGTTGAGTGAGAGATGGTTATGAAGAGATCTAAGCATGAGAGAGAGAGAGATAACTTATATTGCTACAACAGTATCTAGAGTCTCTAGATATGTTGCTACTGATTTTTGTAAAGAAGTGTCTGTGGCAGATTTTGTGTGTTCAGCTTTGCTAGTAAAATTATGTAATCAGTTATGAGATTTATGAACTTCAGATGCCATGAAGCATGATCATCTAAGTATTAAAAAGATTTTACAAATCTTTTTTAGATGATGAAATGAATGTAAGAAGACTGCAACACAGAGTCTTACAGATTTCTCTCTCTTCACAAGTTTTGATCTTCAAGATGTTGATGTGATCAAGATCACAGTGAGAGTGACAGCTCCACTGTGATTGTAATAATTTTTTACAAAATCTCTTTTTGGTGTGAAGAATGTAAGAAAACTACAACATAAAGTCTTAATTCAATCTCAGTTTCTAGATGTAGATGTGACAGTAAGATCACAGCAAAAGTGACAGCTTCTCTGTGATCATAATGTAGTTACTGTAGTGACTGTCATTTTTCATGATTCACTTAGTGATACTCAGCAATCTCTTGAATATAAATATCTCTTTCTTGATCTTCTCTCTCTCTCTCTTTCTTTTTTCTTTTCAACAACATTTTTCTTTATTTTGGTAAGAGTTTCAGACAGGCATTCTCTTTGATAATTATGAATCTTGAGAGACTTCATAAATGGCTTTTCTCAGTGCTAATACATTATGCAGAGAGATAATTTCACTGTGTATCTCTTCTGTTCAAAACAAAATTTCAAAACATGAGCAACAATGGCTCAGCAAGTTTGAAGATAAAACTTCAATCAGTTATCATTTAAGATTCTCTTCAGAGACAATGAGAGAGATGTCTTTAAAATCTTCTGCTTCATCTAAAGTGAAGTTCTCAGCCACTGTCATTTCTTCAGAAAATCAAAGTGAAGAGGTATCATTGCCATCAGTTTCTGTTTATGCAACAGAAAGTTATGTCTCTAAAGACTTTAAGATTTCTTTTCAGACATCATAGTTCAGTCAGTCAAATTCTGATTATGATGATGTGTGAGGATCAGATGGTTGCAGATAATGTTACAATGACTTACAGTCTTTGTAAATGAGATTAGATTAAGTGAGAGGTGGTTACAAAGTGATCTAAGCATGAGAGAGAGAGAGATAACTTATATTGCTACAACAGTATCTAGAGTCTCTAGATATGTTGTCACTGATCTTCATAAAGAAGTGTCTGTGGCAGATTTTGTGTGTTTAGCTTTGCTAATGAAATCATGTAATCAGTTATGAAATTTACAAACTTCAAATGACATGAAGCATGATCATCTAAGCATCAAGAAGATTTTATGAATTTCTTTTAGATGATGAAATAAATGTAAGAAGACTGCAGCACAGAGTCTTACAGATTTTCCACTCTTCACAAGTCTTGATTCTCAAGATGTTGATGTGATCAAGATCACAATAAGAGTGACAGCTTCACTGTGATTGTAACAACTTCTTACAAAATCTCTTTTCAGTGTGATGAATGTAAGAAGACTGCAACACAGAGCTCTAATTCAATCTCAGTTTCTAGATGTAGATGTGACAGTAAGATCACAGCAAGAGTGACAGCTTCTCTGTGATAGGCTGACTGTTGGGGTCCCTTTGGGATCCCAAAGAGACAAGACTGAATGTTAATCCCAATTGAGTTGATCCCAATCCCTTCCCAAAATTTGAAAATTGGTCCCAATTCCATCCCAAAATATGAAAACAAGTCCCATTCCCTTCCCAGTTTCAAATTTTCTATATTATGTCCCATCCCTGAATTTCCCTATCCCTGAAACAACTTTAATTTTTTTTCAAACTTTATTTTGAAAGTGTATTTTTACACCAAAATATGACAAAATAGAAAAATTGGCACATCAAGTCAAAATGCATATATACATTTGTATATGATTTTGGTACTAAAAATAGTATAAAATAAGATTTTATTTTAAGTTTAGGGAAATTGGGGATCCCTATCCCTAATTAAATAATCTCAGTTTCTTTAAATTAAGTCCCATTCCCATCTCAGTACTTGAAACTCAAGTCCCAGTCCCATCTCAGTTTGAACTACCAATTCCCAGTCCCATCTCAATTTTCCATTAGTGCATTAGGGACAGAATCCCAGTTGGGAAATCCCTGTCCCTGTGGTCAGCCTACTCTGTGATCATAATGTAGTTGCTGTAGTGACTGTCATTCTTCATGATCCATTTAGTAATACTTAACAATCTCTTGAATATAAATATCTCTTTCTTGATCTTCCCTCTCTCTCTTCTTCTTTTTTCTTTTCAACAACATTCTTCTTTATTTTAATAAGAGTTTCTGACAAGCATTCTCTTCTTGATGATTATGAATCTTAAGAGACTTCATAAATGGCTTTTCTCAGTGCTAACACATTATGCAGAGAGATATTCAAAAACAAAATGTCAAAATGTGAGCAACAATGGCTAAGCAAGTTTGAAGATAAAATCTCAATCAGTTGCCATTCAAGACTCTCTTCAGAGACAATGAGAGAGATGTCTTCAGAATCTTCTGCTTCATCTGAAGCAGAGTTTTCAATCACTGCTGTTTCTCAAGAAAATTAAAGTGGAGAGACATCATTGTCATCAGTCTTCATTTATGCAACAGAGAGTTATGTCTCTGAAGACTTTGAGATCTCTTCTCAGACATCACAGTTCAGTCAGTCTGATTTCAATTATGATGATGTAAGTGATATTCTTCCATTTCTTCTTCTCTTAATGCTTCATAATTGCTTTTATGAAGTCTGAAATATTTTTTATGAAGTGTTTTCTCACTTCATAATTTTCTTTTCTGTGTGCATGACTGATGGCATATTCAGAGCACTAATATTTAAGCTTAATGGAAACACTTAATGATGTCTACTGTGCCTAGTAACAATTCTTTTTTGACTACTAGTTCCATTGTCTTGATTGATCAGATCTTGAGAGAGAATGATCATTCATCTTTCAGATCTAAAATTCTTGTTGATAATGTGTCATCTCATTTTTCTCAGTCTGATTTATTTCTACTGCATTCTTGTTCTCAGTCTGTGCTCTTTTCTATGCTGCATTCATTCTCAAGCATTGATTCTGTCTTCAATGCACCCAAGATATGTTGAGTTGCTTTGTAACATGACTTATGTGGCAGTTTCTGCTTCATAAATTCATTTATGAAGTGATATTGAGAGTCTCAGCTAATGCTTTTCTTTCTCTAGAAGTTGATCTCATCAACTTCTTCTCTGTCTGCTGTATCTGCTTCTGCTTCTGCTTCTGCTCCCCCAGCCCCTGTTCTGACTGTTAACTTGCCAGCCAGAACATCAGTTACTATGAATCATCTTTCACTCTTAATTTCAGATCAGAATTCATCTGATTGTGAGAGATGA